TACTCACAAGGATGGTAGGAATAAGAACAGTATATGAATTGAGACTTAAAATGTGGAGCTACAGTGCCCAGCTTAACTTAAAATACTCTGAAACCCAATATCAAGTCTCTCAAGCACTTAGGCTTGGCTAGCTGCATCTGTGTCTAGCTAGCAGTTCTTGAAATGAAAGAACTGATACTCAGATGCTGAAACCCTTATTAAGCCAGAACACAAATTATGCCAAACCCCAAAGTCCAGTAAAGACTTCAATTCTTGTTCAATACAGAGTGACTTAGTAATAGTAGCTATCCAAGTTGAGGTTACAGACAAAACTGCTGATACAGGAACTAACTACTGAGAGCTAGAATGCCTAAATTGTGGGCTTGGATTTCCTGCTACATGATTCCCCCTTATCCTGCTTTTATACATAACTAACCAATATAGAATCTATAAATAATTTGATCTGATTACTTATTTCACTTGGCTAGCCCCAAAATTAGATCATTATCCTGCCTTGGCATGTCTCATATATCCTTTTCAGGTGATCCAGGATGCCTCTGGCTCTCCACTTCTATAGTCCATGAATATTTACTATATAACTGATCATCTCATAGTTCCACTTCTTACTTTCAGTCTCACTATTGATTATAATTGATCAACAGTTGAGGTAGTTTTAGTGCTGATCATGGTGATCTGAGGCAGCTGAGCTTCCTTGTTGTAGCTCATCCCCTGAACTGTGTGCCCCTTTAATTATTCATGCCTGAGAAATCCTCACCTCATGTATTTTGCATCAGACCTGGTGTCCTAGCTATGGGCTAATGAGTTCCACTTTGCTTTTACTTCTGGTTTGGGTGCTAGCTGGACCTTGTACTTCACTGCTAGTCATGGTAATAAACTCCTGAGCTAGACTATGGTATACCAGCTCTGATGGCATTTAGAGTTAGCCTAAATATGATACCATTTCTAAGTCCAAATTGACTTGGTATTTCACCATGATGGTGTTATTCCTCTAAGTCCAATTTTGACTTCAAGTTTATTAATCTAGTGCAAAGTTGTTTTGGCTAAGTCCACATTGATCCTTAGCCTTCTTAGCATAGCATGGCTGTCAGCTCAGAGCCTCAGCTATAGCCCTTGAATGACTAGCCATACAGACTTCAGCTTATGTGAATATATTGTTTAAAACTCACAAAATTTAGGGCTAGCTTGATACAATGCATATCATTGGTGCAGCATCAGAGTTGATTTTTGCTGCTGTATTAGGCTGCTGGTGCAGAATCAAGTCAGCAGCTATTACCATGGCTAGAAACTGCTTTTTAGACTTCTTCTTCTTTGCAGTAGTAGAGTCCACAGGTAATCAAGGTATGGATAGAGTCACTTCATCAGTGGTATTCACCATTGTTGTAGAGTGTAGAGTTTAGAGAAAAGGTGTAGACTTGAGAGTGAAAGGAATACTGAGAAATAACACAAGCAGCCTAGTCTGAAGACATCATTGAATCACACTCTCATCACCATATGGAACCATATTGCTAGATCCAAGAGAGGGAATTGGCAATGGATAGTGATAGTCTCAGTTGTAGCTACAGACAAGCAGGAATCTACAGTAATGCAGCATATGATCTTGGTGGAACTAGACTATGCTAATGCTCCCACCATCAATAAAAGCTAAAGTTCAGAAACTGGGAGTAGGCCAACACCTTTGCTTGGCCACATGGCTCTATGACTAATGCCTACCACCAAGCTATTCAATAGGGGAGTAGATTACCAAGTGACAGGAAACCCTTGAAGGCAAACACACAAGAGTGTCCCACTCTACATACAACTTTTATACTACCTTGGAGAGAACATACTAGAGTCTTCAAGCAAAGAAAAGAAAATTGACTGAGTAATGCATAGCACAATGGTTACCAATCCCAATGGTGAGTCTGGTGAGTCTGGTGCTTGGGATGATTAGCACTAAAAATAGTGCACATGCTTTATTTATACACATGTAGTTGTAGCATACTCAGCTGCTGTCCAACTGTACACAATAACAGGAAAACTAGTGACAGTGAATGGACTATGTCAGAAGAATATGCTTGCACATGAGATATAACATTTGGGTTGCCCAGTGATCAAAAATCCTCATCATATCTTCCTCAAATGCTCTATATTCCAAATCTTCAGGGATGAAACAATGAAATAAATGCTCAGAGTTACAGAGAAGGTGCTTGAACCCACCAAGAGAGACATGCATGAATTCCCCAGTGTGCAAGCTGCAGCTGGCCATAACTGACCTTGTCTTTTGACAAACTGTACAGCATATCTCATGAACTTCATGGAAGCATAGTCATCATAACCTGGGTCGTTTGAGCATAGGATGCCATGATAATAGATGAGACAGCTGAATAAGAGAATGGATTCAGGGTTTCTGAAGTAGTTTGTTGCAATTGATGTATGAGTTGTATGGGCAACTTTAGTGTTGATAAAGTGGAATTATTGACATGCATTAGCCTGTAATGAGTGTCTAAGAAGTCCTCCATGAAACATATTTATACTCATTTGAATGTAAGGTCCAATTTCCTGATTCCAATACAGCCTGGACCTTGGGCATTTTAGATGAGATACAGCAAAAGAAAAAAAAAAGGGCGCCCACTTATAAACATGCTGTGTCAAAATCAGATTCCTAGTATGAAGTATATGAAACAAACTGGGTGAAAGCAGAATGAAAATGTTCCCACTTTGCCAGAGCAATAGCTAATGGTCAGATAGTTAATGGTGACATGCCCTCTCCATGTTCAGGCATGTAAAATTGTGAAAATTGCGAATACATGGACTGCATTCTAGGCCAGTAAGCATGTAACAGAAAATATGACTAGAGCACACAGAAACCTAGCTATCATAATGATAAGCTGAAGTAACAATAAGCAGAGTGCATGGCCTAGTAACAGACTAATACCAGAGAGGTTCAGCTGCATGTGAGGTCCCAGCCAAACACACTAATACCATTATGAGAGGACATGCTAAAAATAAAAAGACTATGATTGAAATATGATTGGCAAGTCTGATCACATTGATCAAAGATGCACAGCCATTGATGCACTGATGGAATATGCTTTAGAACAGAGAACTGAGACCCAAAGAAAGGTACCTGAGTAAATGGGTATTGAATGGAGAAATAGACTAATGACAACAAAGTAATAAGTAGAGGAATATTACCCCAGGAATAAATAGCATGCATACTGCCCTGAGCCTTGTGTGTATACATATGGTGCTTTAGCATGCATAACACAGTGAGGGACTCTGCATCATACCAAGAAATGGCACCTTTGGTGAGTCAGATGGAATGACTGGCTGGACACAGGAAAGCAGAACATAGCCATTGTGGCTGACTCCAGGCATGAGAGATAACCCCAGGGGTCTGAGACAGTTTACTGCTGTCAGAGATGTCACTGGGGAAATAAGAAAGTGAGCAGACCTGGTGAGGCCAGCTAGCCGATGTCAGCTAGTGAAGGAACAGTGGGCACAGTCATTTTCCAGAAGTGAATAAGCATGGTGACTGCAATATGCATGCAAATAATACCTGTGGGATCTGGCATGGAGTCCTGCACTTTGAGGATACCATAGCAGGATTGTATTAGTAAGTACCATAGTAGAGTATTTAAATATGGTATTGTATGACTGGAGGAGAAGTTTCCAACCCCCCACAGTTGCAGTGTATTGGGCACAGAAAGCCTTGCACTATAAGCTCTGGGTTTCTGTTAGTAACTTCAGGCAAGAGAATAAATGTCTTATTGAACATCCTTGAGAGAGCTGTGAGAACTAAGCGAGGCATCAAAGCTCACAAAGGACTTAAGCCCAGTTTGATAAGAGGTTTTGGATTGTGCTCTAACCTGAGAATAAGAGAGCAGTGTCTGAAGGGCATCATCTTGAGTTGTTGAGGTATTTGTGATGTGCAGCACTACAGGTGGCAGAGGTTCAAACCCTTTGGTCTGTCAGACAGGGTTTCATTGTGTTTGTGTCTCTAGATTGCATAGGTTTGAATTCTGTGGGTCTATGATCGGTTTGGAAACTTGTGAACAGAGCTCTGTGCTCTTTGGCACTTGTGGATGTGCTTGTGATTGGTTTTTGCTTAGAGCGCAAAGCTTTGAGTCATGTATTGTATGTGTTAGAGATTTTTGAGGTGATCTGAGCTGTGCTTAGGACTTTTTGGAGAGTTTTGTGAGAGTGTTTCAATGTATTGTATTGAGCTGCAGTACCTTTTGCCTTGAGGCCTGGCAACACCTGTTGCCACCTCTTGTTTTGATAAAACGAAAAGCTTTGAGACATAGAGAGACCTTGGACTATTGTAAGTGCACTATCACTATTCATGTGCTGTGATCTCATTAAAGAAGACAATTATATTTGTTGATTGCTACTTTTATCGCATTATAATCCCCCATGAACTAAGAGTTTTGTGTGTGTGTTGGTGTGAGTGTGGTCAGTGGATAACGCTCTGCTGTATCTGCTTTCACCTTGTGCACACTCAGATCCTCTTCAACGGTCAGAGTGTTAGTTGTATTTTCAGAATGGCATTTCATTTCATCATAAAACAGGGTACCAGTAGTTGCTTTTCCAGGTGCTTTCTTGCCTCCAGCCTGTAGGTTCTGGGTATGGTGATGCATATGGCCCATATCAAGTCTGAAGAGAGAATATATTCATGGATTGAGATTGTCATTACATGAATCAAAAGTTTATGGATTTAGGTAAGGTTATCTAATATGCACTCAGAATGACACTACATTTTAGGATGAATAACTTGCAAGGTCGCCATTGTTGCATCATCCATTGCCCTGACCGCGAGTGTTATGTAAATACTGCTCTCTCTCATAACATCATCGCACTCCTCCAGGAATTTCAATACGTTTTCGAAGCTGTCTTGGGAATGGTCAGGGATCCATGGCGGAGTGACACCTTCCTGCTACACTATACATGGGTGTATAATATTCTGTGCACCCGCATATCTCAACTTGTGTCAAGATCTTCTAACGTTTCTCACTCTAAGATCGTTTTAACATTCATAATGTATTCTCCTTAAACTCTTTTCAAGTACAATTTTTTGGTTCAGCTCCAGATGTATAGCAATTTTCCAGAAAAAGAAAGCCCTGAAGAACTTGCGTGATATTGGCTTTCAGGTGAGCCTCTTGCAATAATCGGGATTACCAGTAGGATTCTAGACACGTTTCATCAGTATACAAACGACCAATGCTCATCGCACAACGAACCAAAGCCCAATTGGGCATATTGATGACCGTACCCGAGCCGCCTCCAACAGCGAACGTAAAGACAAACACCATGACCTGCACAGGGGTCAGCCATGATGACAGTGAGAAGAAGAAAAAAAGAACAATCCGCACCTGCGTGCCCCCATCCAACGCCGCAGACATTAGGAAGTTGTACTTCCTAAACCACCCAGGCCGGTATCGCCGGAGATAATACTGCGAGAACACCGCCAAGCAAAAGGTCGTGAACACAGATGTGTTGATCCCGACACTGAGATACCCGAGCGTCCCTGGTGGGAGAGCTTTAGACACGAACCCCCATACCAAAAAAAAATCTTATCTCACAACAAAGTATGGGCGTGACGACGTGATTGGCGCCTAATTTTGGATATCGACGGTGGATAAGCCAGAATGGGATGGGTACCGCGAGGCCGATGAGGATAGATAACGGGACGATCTGTCAGAGTGTGAGATGATGATGGGCAGGCAGGTAGGTAGATAGGTTACTCACACCATATCGCCCACTCGGAGAGTAGAGCTCTTTGCCTAGTGCTCCCCAAGATACGGCGTCGCTATTAAAGGACTGTTTGTTCTCATGGTCAGTCTCGACTGGGTGATTGATAGACAGTGTGTTTACCTGGACCTGCTGGCCCGACCACTATGTGGTGCATTAATAGATGGAATCTCGTCGTAACGAGGAAGAGGGGGGACGTACGATGTTGTTCCCTTGAACGTCGAGAAGTATTTCCCGATGCGCTGCAATGATAACTTTCATGATAACATAATTCAAGAGACCGCCCTTTTACCGATCTGTCAGTTCAGAATTTAAACCAAGACAACGCGACAATAAATGCGCACAACGACTGTTCCGGCTGATTGAACCACGAAAGTGACGCGAGGAGGCAACTTGGTGTATTGTCCCTTATGATAGAGATTAAGAACTGGAAGGAAACCCGGTCCATAGAGATCGGGCCCACCCACCATTTTGAGGTCCCTGATAAGCCCTTGAGCCTGACTCAGGGTGTTGGAGCCGTAGAGGGTGAAATACATGTTAGTCTGAGGACTTCCTGGCATCATCGAGGCTCCAAGGATCTAATGACACGCTGATGAGGCCGGCTGGATACATCGGGTGCAGGATATCGAGAGCGCACCTGCACGAGGCTTGTGACGTCCGGAGAGAACCCCGTGATGGCATAAACTGTAACGACGAAGGGGAGGAACACCGCGGAGATGATGATCGCTAGAGAGAACGTCCTAGAAAAAAAATTGCATGCGTTTGGGAATGGAACACGTACCGACGATCAAGCCCCACCATGGAAGTCTCGAGTCGCTGGTGTACACGGTGGCCATGGCCATGGCGAAGCTCCCCAGGAATATTGCTATGTACCACCACATCGGGACCTCTGGGTATACCTTCATCTTCTCCAGGTGCGGGTCGTAGGTTTCGCCGTTCTGGGTGGAGGCGTTTTGTCAGTGACGCGAGACATATATATAAAAGCTTTTTCTCTAACCTTGTATTTCTTGATGACCCCGAAAATGTCCTTGCCGTACCACAGCATGACATGCATGATGGTTGAGCCGATAGCTAGGTTGTTGCCGATCTTTGTGAGGACCTGCGAGCTGGCGAACCATGGGAGACCCTGGGGAAAGGTTAAAATGGCAGATTTGTAATAGGAACCCATAAAAAAGAAAAAAAAAAATTACCTGGACCCCCAATTTCTCTGGGTCCAATCTGAAATCGTCATTCAATATGCTTAGCTGGTCGTACAACGTCCCGTTCTCGTAGAAGAGCGCTTGCGATAGGAAGGGGAAATTCTGGCCGCTCCAGGTGTTGCGAGCGTAGCACGCACAGAAGGCAATTCTGCGTTGGAGAGATGGTCATTTATGTTTTCCTCTCTTGTATGAAAGACGATATACTGACATGCAGATCATGGTCCCAAAATATAACGATAGCTGCGTCGAGATGGGCGTGAACCTGAATATAACTGAATATAAAGTCGACATTTGAACACAGACATTGCTCCCGGCTCCGTCATGACAAAAAAAACGTACAGTGCGCCCATGCTGCCTCCACCTGAACCCACATAATTCCAGTCTAAACACAAGGCAAACATCCCGAGTCCTTCATTACCCGCAGCGCCACCTGCACAGCACGGTGTCAGAAACCAATTCCGCTAAGCCCTATGTGAAAGGGATCGGGGTGTTCCCTCACCGAAGATCCTCGTAAACCAGGCACTATTCCTGTTTGCCAAACAAAAGACACTGATCCCCGTCAGGGTCGGAGCTATATACTCCGGGAACCACTCCCAGACGAAGATCGCCACGAAGATGCTCCAAAAGAACCGGACGCGCTTTTTCTGGAGGAACATTTTCTTTCCTCGGTGGAGGGCGTCGAAGAGCTGTACTGTGGGGAGAAGGTTGGGGAAGACGACATAGGTAGGGTAGACGAGGAATGAGCGCATGATTCCGCCCAGCCCGTAACCAATGAGCTGGCTGCCGATGAGGGTGAAGATCCCGACACCTGCATTGGGCTGTGATTCTATCAGACGCTGATAATTATGAAGATACAATTGTTTACTGCGGACCTGAATGTTGTAGTACAAGTCATCCGCAGCGAAGATGCTGATAGCGAGGGCAGATTCGGCGGCGGTCGTCGAAAAGATAGTCATTGCTACGTGCTCCTTGATATCTGAGAGAAAATTAGACCGATGATGATCATAACAAAGAAAAATAAAAGAGCCCAGGTACTGAAAGGACCAGGATTCATGAATCTCCAAAAAGCGCTATCCTTCATCTTCAGGCTCTCGACAGGATTTCCGGGCCCGGGTATGATGGTTTCCAGAACGACACCAAGAATGTATCCTAGGATTTGGAGGAACAGCTGCGAGACAAATACTGTTTGCGGCCGGAAGTACTAATGCTGTGTCAGAACTGGCATTGTCTCGTAGCCTCGTGATGGATGGGCCTTACAAATATCTGCCCAAGGACGGCACCGAAGCATGATAGCCCGATACCGAGGACCCACATGCGAAATGTGGATGCTGGAAGAGTAGGATCATCTTCTAGGGAGATAAGGCGCGTAGCGACGTCCATGTCCGTCACTGTAGAATGTGGTCAGCCTCCCGAAACGGAGGCCAAAAAAAAAGAGTGAGGCTCGTACCAATAGGACGCTCCTTCCCATCTTCACCCATATCGATAATGCGCAAGTCATCGTAGACATCTCCTTGGAAAGGGATGGCCGTAATGACCTCAGTCGACGCCCTTTTGTTATCGGTGGGGGAGAGCTTATCATCAGAGTGAAAGGATCGATTGCCCGTAGTTTCGAGAGACTCCATGGATGGACGGTCAGATACCGTCTATTGGCTGTGTATATATGCGAGATTCGACTCGCTGGCATTTATTTTTATTGTTCCTGCAATGGGAGCAAGTGCCTCAATGTAAGCTCGGCTAGCACGGGAGTCCGAAGATCTTACCATATTGCATCCGCCCGCATACCTGTGGCGATAACAAAAAAGCATGTTTGACTTGAACCTGAGAGGTAGAAAATTCTCAAGGGTTGTGAGAATTTCCTGGAGCGCGTGCCCGAAGGGTGCTCATAGTGGCATGTTCTAGACAAGAGGCTGCTGATCGAAATGTAGAACATGTGGAGCTTGCGCATAACTAGTAGGGCGGTTCTACAGACTTTGCTTACACTTAGATAGCGAGTTAACGATGCGAACCTGTCCTGGTCTAGTAAACAAGCGACAATTAAATAGACTATGCGGAGAGAAGAGGTCGACCCTCTGCCTTGAGTACCCATACCTCCACTTTCCAAAGAAAAGACCCGAGCATTCAGAGTTGCTCTCTCTTCCTCACTTGAGGATAAAACACCTACACCTATACCGAATTCATTTTGTGCAGCCCAGTCCCCTGCAAAACGTGATGGTAAAATTGTGGGGGGAAGTGATGTTGGGGGTGGTTGACAGATCCGGGGAAAATGAGATGCGGAAACCATTATGGATGCCGGAGATGACGTACATACTGTGGACGGAGAAATGTCAATTCAAGCCGCAGGCACATCTGCCATCATGTGGGCTTAATGTCATGGAAAAAGAGAAAAAATATACCTAGAGGGGCGGCTCATTATCATCGCGTTCTCTGAGGGTCCTCCTACAATACTATCCCATACTGCGCCAAGGAAACAACGCGAGGTTGTTGAGTGATAATTGATGGCCCTTATCGTGACGAGCAGCTTTCAGCCTACGACGTTGCCAAAGAAGTGATAATATTCGCGGGGGATCCCGAGTGAGGATAAGAGAGCAAAGGAATCACCTCAAGAAGAAGAGATGTCGATGAACGTTGACCACGTACATATGAGAGAGTCTCCTATCGGCCACTCCGACAAGTTGTACGTGTCCGCCGCCTCAGTCCGTATGTATGGCATAGCCCTGCTGACTATGCACAGATAACCACTCTCGCTCCATTCCACACCGACCATCTCCTGATGCCTCAGACATGCACTCAATGTATCTATAGACCTAACTCCCTTTGCTCTTCTATTCCAAATTTGCTTATAGCATGGATATTTGACTTACAGCGGGTGACTGAAAACAAAAATTTAGTTAGATGGAGGGAGCAAGAGAGAGAGAGAAAAAGAGAGAGAAAAAGCATTCACTTTCCACCTCATTCCCATGTGAATGCTGTGACACTAAAAATAACTCAGAGATCTTATCAGCTGTATTGATCAGATACCATTGATGATCATGTGCTAAACAAGAAGCAATGTGCAAGTTGAGATGCAAATGGACTAGTGTCCAGTGCAAAGAGAAGAGGATAACACATATATGATTTGACAATCATCTCTGGCGAGAGTGCAAAGAGAAATCAGACCATATGCACCAATGCTCAGTGCTCATGAATAACATCTCATTCTCTTCTGGACACTGTATCTCTGACCAAAACAGCACACATTAAGACCCAAAAATCATTAGATACACATCCAGAAATATGGACATTAAGGATTTGAACCTCAAGCAAACTGCTGAATGGTATTGTTAGCTGGCTTTTTATCAGAGAGACATTTCAGGATGAAATCCTAGCAGTTACATGTTGACTCAGACTCAGATTCAACTTTGGGAGACACTGGCAGGGCAGATGGTCTTGGGAACTACAGGTACTGATATTTTTCTCTGTCTGGTAAGAAGGCCAGACCAGTTAGTAAATAAAAAAACATGAAATGAAAGAGTCTGCATGCATTGTCAATCTTTATGTTGTTTCCAAACAGTTTCATATACTCTTGATCAATGATTTGGGGGAGATAACTGTCCTTCCAGAAAAAGGAAACAAAACCAATATGGCATGATGGTGCTACTACTGTTTGAAAATAGGGAATCAAACCCTGCTCAGACCAGCTAATGAATTACACTAAGGTATATTTGAAAAAATTTATTATACATCCACTAATAGTATGTCTCATTCATATGTGTCTGTTCACTAGATCACAGATATGTTCTGAAGCACTACATGCTTGCTGATCTGCTTGCTACTCTATTATGAATCAACAGAGAAAGAATATATTCCAGCCCACATGGTATTTGAGGTCTGATATTCCAACAAAATGATATGTCTTAATCTCATTTCTATTTTCACAAACTCAAAATCAAGATGCAAGACTTGAGTGCAACATCAGTTCCTCTCACATTTATATTCCAATGGGGAAACTATGAGGATATAATCAACTGCATACTGGTGCTAGGTGACATCTTTGATCAATATGAGCTCACCTGTTAAAGGTTCAGTGAGGCTGATCTGCCAATTCAGATTTAGTACTGCAAGGAGGGAATGCATCCAGATGTCAATAATCCAAATGCAGTGACTGTGACCACTATCAACCTCACTGGTTCTCAGAAGCAAGAGAAATTATGGTATGGTCCAGTCATCACTCTAATGCTCATGAAGGACAGATCTCATCTGAGGTACATAAATGTTGAAGAACATCATCTTGATGTTTTCAGAAGATTCTTCATGAGCTTTACTAGTTCCTATACCTTTTCATTCCTAGATATGAGTTTTTTCTTTTATGCATTCTGTGTGACATGAATCTGATTGATGTTGAAGAAAATTGCTAAATCTGTGCCCTTTGATCTTTCACTTGTGCATGATATTACCTTACTTCAAGGGGTTTCATCTCTTCAACTGACAGGAGCTATATTCTTTGTTAGGAGTATGAGTACTTTAAATAGTTTATAAGCTAATGCTATCTCATCTTTTATCCAAGGCATACTGAAAGTAGCAAGAGAATTGGTGCTTGAATTATATAAGACAAACTTGTAACAAGTCAACAAGTGCTATGCATGGTTGAAGGAGTCCCAACAAGCACTTTTTCTTCATTAAAGTTGGGTTGGAATGGCAATAATGAACCTCAGAAAAGCCCATCCAAGGGATGGAGATGAAAAACTGTTCTTTGAATCCTTGAATTCTGAGCATACAGAGCTAGAAGGCTTATCACTGCACACTCAGAAAATTGAATGAACATAAAATGAGGAACTGGTATACTGACTATGTTCTCTTCTTTTCTCACTTATCTCTTTTTCATATATGCTTAGGTTGAGTGCTTAGAGCAACTGCTTATTTATGTACTTGTACTCAAATCAAATTCAAAGTAACCTGCCTGTTATATTATATATTGGAAGTATTTCTCTTATATATGAAAGAAAGTCTCTCATAACTATTGAAATAAATGGTACCCATCCTGAAAGGCAGGTCCAAGAAATTCAACCTCAAACCTTGAATTTCTGATGATGCTACTGGTACACCACCTATGTCTGCAACCTTTCAATCCATCTAGAGGTGCTGTGATTCTGGTCAGACTCTTTAGACTATCACATGAATTTCTTTCATTTTATCATCAAAACTCTATCTGATATCTATGTAAAAAATCACACCAGTTTTTTATATCCTGATGTGGACTACTTACTTACTATCCAAGCAAAAACAGAGGTGTCTTATAAAACCTAAAGCTCAGATTAAATTAAATTTTAAAAAAACCTACTCTTGCAATCTAACAGAATTCAGATATGAGGATTTGCACTCTGAGTAAAAGGTAGATGGGCTATACAGCTATATCTGCATGAAGATCCCTAGATATAAGGGTTCAAAAGACCTTGCTGGATATTTGGCTTCTTGAGAGATATAGAAAAATTAGGTCTATCATCCATAAAATGATCAAATCATTGCCTCTTGTCATGTAGCTGATAGTTAACAAACAACAAGAGCATTTTCTCAATCAAAGAGATGGGACAAGAGAAATCAAAACTTCACACTCTCAGCAACATTAACTCCAATATGCTAAATATGTCCATAGGCCTACTCTTTTGTTCTTCTATTCTGAATTCACTTACAGCATGTGATGTTTGACTTAAAGCAGATGATTGAAAATAAAAATACAGTCAGGCAGGAGGAGTGAGCGATCTTCAAGTGAGAGAGAGAAAAGCAGTGCATTCACTTAAGAAACTACATACCAATGCTCATGAAAAACATCTCAATGACTTCTGGATGTCAGCTACCTGATCAAACAGAAACAAAACAGCACACATTATATAATACCCTACTTGAAACACAATCATTAAGCATGCTGGTACTGGGAAAATTGAATCTGAAGCCAGCTATTGATGTATCAGGAGAAGGTTACAGGATGAAATCCTAGCAGCAGTTACATATCAACTTGGACTTGGATTCTACTGGCAAACAAGCCTCTTGGAAACCACAGATACTGACATTTTCCTTCAGAAAGTCAGATCAGTTAGTAGGTCAATTTCAAAAAAAGTGAGATGAAAAAGTCTGTATATGGTGCCTGTCTTCATAGTTGTACCCAAACACAGCAGTTTCATTAAACCCTTGAGGGGAGATAGTGTCTCTGCCAGAAAAAGGGAAACAAAAAACCAACACATCATAATGGTGTTTCTAGCATTTGAACATAGGGAATTGAACCCTGCCTTAGCCAGCTGGTGAATTACACCAAAGAATATTCAAAAAAAGTGTGGTTGACTGAGCCAGAGGGCAAGATTTTTTGGTGTTGGCTTTGGCTCCTGAATTTGCTTTCATTGTACAGAAATGGGGTTCAACTGCCAAATAATGACATATTTATAGAGCACTTTGAGCATAGTGAGAATTTTTTGAAGAGTCCTCACCCATTGACTGATTTTCAGCCATGTTTATTATACACCCACCCTCCTTCCAAACAATCATCAATCCTTTATGGTCCATCCACATGTTAGATCTGAAACATGCTTTCATCTATAATTCACAACACCAGAAATTAGAATGTGAAAAATGAAAACAAGTGTGCTTATGAAGAAGGATTCCGATTTGGAGTAGGGGGAATTGAACCCCAAGCTGGTGGTCATCATAGCAGCAATACTGGATATGTGAAAGGGCCATCAGACTAGGTCCTGGTCCTGAGTGTGAGTGCTGATGTTGCTGGATCCTGTACAGTCTATAGAGAGAAGCAGTTATGCTGATTGGACAACTAACAAGCCATAATAAGGAAGCTCCGAGCTCGTAACTAAATAATCAGTCATTCCGCATGTCAGCAAGCAGTTCACGACATTGCCAAAAGAAGTCCCAATATTCATGGGAGGGGGGATCCTGAGTGAGGCTGGCACACTCAGGAAAATGAGACAACGTTTAATGGAATGGTACAACCAAAACTCGTACTTTCTCTTCTTTTTTCCCGCTTATGTCTTGGCTTAGGTCGAGTGACTGCCTATTTATGTGCTTGTATCCGAAACTAACCTGTTTGTACATCGGAAGTATCTCCCCCCTCCTACATGAAAACAAAATGCCCCGTATATCATCCAAAACGAATGGCATGCTAGCAAATCTTGGAAGGCAACTCTCAAGGAATCGAACCTCGAACGTCGGATTACCGCCGGTACACTATCCAGCTTCCAGTCCCTGTGTGTTTTTTTCATCGATTCTGGGCGTACCACTGCATTGTATGAGGGGATCCACAGTTGAAGTAAAATATCACACCAGATCTCCATATAAGCAAACGGACTACTTGCTAACCAAATCTCAGGGGTGAATTAAATTAAAAAGACTTTGTGAACGAAAGATGGACAGTATTCGGATATAGGGACTCGAAACCTAAGGTGACCGTATAGCCATATCCGCGTGTATGTCATCCATTAGACGTGAGGATTGGAGAGGACATCTCACTTTTTCGAATGATAGGTCTCATCATCCCCACAGCATTTCGAACCGTTTGCCGACAGTCAACAAAACAAAAAAAGAGCGTCTTCTCGACCAAAGATACGGAAAACGACATGAGGAATTTAACTCTCACGTACACGCTAAACACTTTGCTCTTGCGATTCCGACAAGCAGGACTGCTTAAGGCATGGGGTGGAAGTTTGAACCACAGTGATGAAGAAGCAGTGTCTAATAATCAATCACGTTCGCGTCCTAATGCCCAATGCCGATATACTTTAGAGCCTGTATATTGGTAATTCCCACCTGTGACAGAGAACAAAGAATACAGAGTTCGAGCTCCAACGACGTGGGTTATTCCTTTCATAGCAGGCCTTGGGACTTTGGTACACCGAGCATTCGAAAAATTCAACCTGCACGAGCCGAGCCAATCCCCATCTTCCTTTTCCTTGGTGCTAACCCAAACGATCCAGGGTGCTATAACAAAAAAAAATGGAACCACCTCGCTCACCTGGGGAGTCTCGAGCTCGGTTTCACTAACTAAAATAACTCAAGTCATTCGAAAGCATTGACCTAATGTAAAAGAAACCCGAAATTAGGCACCCACCGTCGATGAGTTCACCATTTCGGCAAGAAAACGGCCTCCCCCCTCAAAATTGTGGCACAAGTACGTCAACCGGAATCTCATGTGAATAATTAAAACATATACGTTCCATAAGGACATAGAGAATCGAACCCCTCCGCAACCGAACGAATAGCACACCCACTTAGCCCATATCCATATGTAAGAAATCAATGTGACGGCTGTCGGATAAGATTGAAACCTCGCGTTCTCGGGGACCTCTACCGACCGAGGACAAAAACGATGCGTAGACTTCTATATCGTTGCGTCCGGACCTCAGAGCGTGGTTCGGTTCGGGGGGGAAGGGGGAAGGTAACTGTAATGAAACGACAGACACATGTACAAGAAGAGAAAAAGAACCCCGCAAAAATCATCACACCGTCCGCTTCCCGTGAAGACCATCGCAGCGGAATGGCACTGAGGAGAGAGAAATCGAGCTGGTCATATGAAGATCTAAGTTAGGGCCAGGTAATACAAAGCAGAAAGAGCGGACGAATTACACACCAGCGAGATGCAATATTGCCATTGATCTTTTCCACGACATCTGGCCCGCTCCAGTCTTCCCGAACTGCGAACGAACGCGATGCTGGTGGCCTTGGCGTGGTCGAGAGACACATAGCAGTGGTCGACAGAAACTGTGATGCATGTGACCAGCGCCCTTTCGATGACCGCCCTAGGTCTGAAGGCAGACGTCAAGTGAGGAACATCACATTGGCAATCAAGGAATCGTGATAGCATTCGCCTTACGCATCACGAAACAAACACCCAAAGGTCTAAGGTCCCACGCGCCACACTTCCAAACCCACACACTCAAACGGCACAGCCCCTCCAGCCCGCGTCCTCCCCGGCGAACACAACACCTCATTTCCAAACGTCAAACACTTCGCCGACGAGCCCTCCAACAAACTCTTCTCAATATACAGCCCATATGACCCATCCCCACCTCCAAAGCTCAGAGATTCCCGCTCAGAAAGGGCGATGTAGTCGTTCCTCCCTGTAGTCTTGTAGACTGAAAGCTTGCCATTGACGTAGCGCCATAGGAATCTATAAACTTATGAACATGAATTGAGTTGAAGTATGAAAAGAAACAACTTACGACTCTCCGGTACCGTAGTATCCCTTACCGCTGCTCTTGCGTATCCCGTCCCCGATAAATGCCCCAAATATAGTCTCTCCCTCATCCTTGACGACGATCAGCACGCCAGTCGGCTTGGACTGCTCAGAACGCGAATAGAGCGTGTTGAGCGATATGCCATGCTGATCCAAGGAATAGAGCAAGGTCCACGAACGAGAGAGCCGAGAGAGGGCGGGGAGTTGAGGGCGGATCTGGACCGCAGTCAGCCTGTGATCGTCGAAGAGAAACGACGCACTCACCATAGTCGCTAGTGTTATATCCAACACGCACACTGTACCCTCCCTTCTCCCTTTCAATTCTACATCTCCCATCTTCTTCTCGATGAGCCCGCCAATAGGAACGGATGCAGCTCGGTCGTGACTATTTATTTTACTCTCCAGCTCCTTCTCCAGCTGCATCGAGAATCCCTTGTCCCAAGCGTATTCCTCGCCACGAAACCCCGGCGCGCCACTAGGAGGTATATACACCACAGACGACGTCTCTGACGCGCTACCGTGAGGTGCGAAGGGTGTGTCATGCGAGATTTCGACGGGAACCACAGAATGTGGACGCTGAGGCTCTACATGGTGATCAAACAGAGAGTCCAGAGTGGCACGCGCAGATGGTGAGGGTGGTGAACGGGGCGGGAGAAACGTGTCCAACCATCGGGACGGGAGGGTCTCAGAGTGGGCGACGGGTGTTGAGACCGATGACGTAGACGCCACTGGCGGGGCCGGTGTCGCAGCAGAGAGGGTCGATGCACGCGAGGGCGGGGAATAGTGGTGTCGAGATGATAGTGCAGTAGATACCAGCGACGGCAGCACACTCGACGTTTTGGCTCTGAAAAAGTCGTCGTCCAGATCCAGATACAGATCCACCTCCGCAGGCGGCTCCTTGTCCCGAAACAGAGGCTCATCCTGTATTAGCCCATCCAACACCTCGCGCCTATTCCTCTCCTGCGCGCGCGCCGCCTCTTCGAAGAATATGCGACTGGTACTGGGCTCTACATCCACAGGCGAGAACGGCTCAGCTGCTAGCGGGTCCTGCGACGGAGGGACAGACACAAAGGTGCCAAATTCCCCGTCCGGAGAGCGGGGTGACTCCAACGTGGGGTGTATTAGTGGCGGGGAATTCGTGGGAGAGGCGCGAGGTGTGGGCGGGGAGAATAGCGTGGCGAATCGGTCGATGCACTCTTCGGCGTGCTTTATTGGAGAAGACCGTCGCTCTGGGTGCGTTATGTCGCCGCATATCGAGTCCAATGACGATGCCATCACGGTTCCAGGCAACCTGCAATACTCTTAACAGGCGCTCCTGCACGAGCCAGAAGTGAACGCACCTTTTATCTGTTCAATCAATACACACTCTTCGGTCGCGTAGCTTCACTGTCGATCTTACCCTACTCGTAAATCTTTTTCCTGAAAGAGAAGACAGGATCCTTGGAATGGATGCACCTGCCCACGAAATGACAAGAATGGAAGCCTGCCGTAGGAATGAATCAGCAGTCAATCTCGTTCAAAGAGCAAAAACAGCTCACCAGGTTTCGTTAGTTTGCAGACCTTAGTTCAGACACGCCTATAGTCAGGGCCGTTCGTGATATTTCGTAGTAGAGTCGTCGTGGTCAAAAGTCAAGATGGTAGTAATGGTTGCTGTATACTCCTGTTTGCCTGATCGCCACAAGAATTCCGGATCTCGGGCCGCCCGCTTTGGAATTCTCGCCAATGCCATCACAAGTTTTCCGGTTTCCCAAACTCAGAAACTTTTATTTTATGATCCACCAGGACCGAAAACCACCATTCCCTGGGCCCTGTTCCTCTTTTTACCTTCCGTTAATTCTGCGGATATCCCTTTCTATGTTTTTTCCTTGACCCCACCCGAACGACAACGTCGGTCCGATAATTTTCCTGCTTTATCCTCCTCTCAGATCGCCAAAAAACCAAGTTCTGTACTCAATGCTTTATCTATCCGTACTGAACTAGATTGTGCTCTCCGTTATATGTCGTGAAGACATCCACACTTGGGGCCCAGAGGACTCCATTGTTCTACACAAAAATCCATAACCCACAGAGATGGAATCTTTCGCAGACTATACCGACCAGTGAATGTATTGAAGAAACTCCGCGCCGACCACCTCAACTTCTAAGGGCGGATCTTTATCCCCTACGGCTTGCTGCGCTCTCGCTAGCTCAGTGATCATTGATAGGTATAGCAATGCCTTACTACGGCATAGACCCATCTTGTACTCCGCCCGACCACACAAACGCCATCTGCTCCCGTTCCCAATCCAAATACCCGTCTCACTGATCTCGAAAGTGCCCGTGGTTTGCCCAACGAATAAATCACGACTAGGGCAAGAGTCATCGCGTTCAAGTACAGGCGCCATTCTAGGCCAGATATGAAGAGATCTGCTTTTCTCATTTGATGAAATGCCAAATGGAGTGACAGCCGATGACGTTGAAATGCAGAGCGCTAAACGAAACGACGCATACACTTTACCACGCTAACTCTCGTATTCATAACACCACGCGTAAAAATCCAATAAGAAATCTTAAATAAATCCTCTTTGTATTCCAGGCTCGCATGACCCCGAATCGCATCAGAATTTACATTTTGCGACACCACTGTTTCGCAAAATAATCCCCATGGATACAATACAGAATACAAGCAGAAACGCCGCTGCAGAGAACGAAAAAAAAAAAAAAAACCCATGACAAGTCCTGTTCACAACCACAACCATACTATCCGAGAACAACTCCCAAAAAGACCCACAAGCAGCGCAACGAACCTCCCCACAACCTGTTCCCCAGCGTCATTAGGTAAGAACGAAAAAAACACTTACAACGCTCGTTACCCAGGAATGACTGCTTCCAGCGTGACGAGCAGCTGGCTAAGCGTTACGCCGATAACAGTCCCGAGGTCGTGAATCCTTGTGTCGTAGCACTGATATTATACCACGGTTCGTTAGCCATGACAATGAGTGCGTGGGCGTGTATACCAGCAGGGAGCGCGGCATTATCACCGCCTGAAAATCGCTTTACTCTAGGCTCAAGTGACCGTAACGTTTGTCCCTTAAATATTGGTCTCTTCTCCCTCTGCCTGTGAGTTATTGACAAAACATATGAGGACGAGGGAAAGGGCCTACCAAAAAAAAAAAGTCTACAAATCCAATGGCAGGACTACTTGGTTGTGTGGGCGCAAATCACAGGTTGATTTCAAATTCCCCCCTCCCCCGGGGATGATTATCCAGGTCCCTCCATAATCTGTTCAAGGGAACACCAGCAATACCTAGATGTGTCGCATCGCTTTTGGTCACTACTGCTGAAGAGCAGCCCATCCTTTTTCCCGCGAAGGACTGACTCCCGGAATATTCAGTTATTCTCTGACAAGAAAACTGCATGCGTTAACAGAGATCACCTGACCGCCCTATTCACATATCTTCCTTTACGGATTTTGCCGTAGGCCGTATCCTCTCAGTATATGACTAGCCATTGGTTTCAAGGTGTGTCTTACAATCGAATTACTGGGAAATGGCATCACTGCGATCGCAATCGTCATTAAACTGCCTCACCTTAGTAAAAGAGCAACGTCTCTGCCAGAGCAGTTGGTATACAGTGTGTTGAGATCTTATATGACCTAGTCAATGCTAAACTTCACTGCACAGGCTGCGGATAACTCTTACAATGGTCCTCTGTGGACTTTGCTCGATTCACTTTTAGCTCAGCTGGTACGCTCAGGACTTCGGACAGCGGATACATGCAGATCTCGCTGCCTCCACTCACAACCCAGAATATTTTCCCGCTAACAAAATGTTCCAGTTGGCCGTTATCGAGCCACAGTTCCATGGGGTCAGCCCCCTATTAAGATAACCGAAACGGACAGTGTATTAATGTATGCATAAGTCTTTCAGCCTTCTCGCTGTTGTGTATAGATACTTCGAGACTGGAAAAGACGTCGCACGATGATGACCAAGTTCTAGCGCGGTTTCTGTAGTCTCTCATAGCATATTGACATATTCTTATCGTGAAATCTCCCAGCCTTCCATTCTCTTCGCCTCCTGTACGACCTTGGGGCCATGAAGACCGCGTGCACATCTCATGTGGATAACCATCCCGAGATCATCATGAGCCGCAACCATAGCAGCATCAGGCTAACCTCCTGATATGCTGCTGTACCACAATTGTTTGTCCAAAGCTCATCTTCAAAAGGTCTTTCGAGTAGCTGAGATGTCCATATGATGTTGATGCGTGTATGGATGTGGTATATTGTCACTTGGAGCGTATTCCTTGGACCCAAACAAGCACTGGATTGGGTTTTTTTGGCACGCCGAGGTTTTTAGTAAGGTAATTTAATTTTCCATCAATACCGCATCCCCGCAGGTGGTTACATCCATACACATCAATCCCTATATGAACGGCCCAAATCACGAGGTGTCGATGTGGCGTGCAGTTAGGGACTGAAACCGTCGATGATCAACTTGATATCGATCACTCAAAATGAATATGCACCTGTTCGTCATTGAGGGAACTCTGCAGCTGCAAGGTAGAAGCACGAAGACGTAGCTGGTACAATGTGTCAAGATCTTTCAGTGCCGCTGTAGTTTTCGCATCTCTTTTTGCAAAAGCCCTGGCTTTCGTCTCTGCGAAGACTTCCACAGAGTCGATATCTCCCGTCATTCCATATTCATTTGCTAGCTGTGCCTCTAGCCGTTCAAGGGGGAGAATATTTCTTGCCAGTTCTTCAACTTCATCCGTAGGAACTGGCTAGATGGAAATTAATAATAATCGAGGGCCCGAGACGAAGAATCAGTATGCACCTCAGCTCTATGTTCAATTGACGGATGTTGTGTTGCCATCTGTTGGCTTTGATGACCCTAGAGAATAAGTTGTTAGTGGTGCACATAGGAGAGGAAAAAGATAATCTGTTATGGTACGTACACTATACAGAATTTCACCCAGTTTATTCTTGACCGCAAAGCAAATTGCTTTCAGTAGAATTAACGGCTGCATAATTGACAAATTGGTTCGAGTGATTGAGTTCCCGTTACCACCAAGGCTTATAAACGACGGCACTGTAGTCTTGGTGGGAATTGTGATGGCCGTGCTCGTGTTGCTAGTCATGTTTATGAGTCAAAGTCTCTTCACCTAGTGAAACGGTGTCAGTAACGTTGGAGAATAACAACGAGGTAGTTTGATCTATCTCTGTGTTAAGTATGTGCAAGTTAACCGCCAGTAAACAGCTCCACTCCGGCTCCAAAGCCGTGCGTCAATACAACTGCGGTGGAAACTGCTGTAGCGCTGTACTGAATGGATGCGCTCGAAGTATATATGAACACTTCTACACTGATATGAGGGCACATAAGGGGCTTCAAGTGCTTTGAATCAATAGTTAATAAGTGAAAGGACCGCAAATGATACATATGCAGTTATTAGAAGCTTTATACATTCGGTCTTTAAAGAATCCATTGCACAGCGGCGTACAGGCATAGCCTCGGGTCAGTTGTGATATCGCACAGCTGTGGACACATGCATAGAAAGCTCTATTATCAGAAAATGGCGAGTTCCGAATGCTATCCAGAATTATTTTGTTACCATTGTGAATCGAACTAGCGGAAATGTGCTTCTGCGTTTCAGCTTGTTATATATATGATTGTATTGGAGCCCGATTAGGTGGTTCCACTCGGCGTAGGAGATATAGTAGAAATAGACCGAAATGGACCGGAGTCGAAGTGTATTGTGTGATGTTAAATGAGTTAATTGCGCAATTCTTCAAAGCTGTACAATGTCCCAGATAAGCAGGGTGATGTTCGCAGCTGATTTTTTTTCAGCCGGGCCCGATGAATAAAACTACTTCCTTTCTTTTTTGCTTCCTTCCGCGCATAAGATCCTATCAAGTTGTTGAGACAGCTTTTAAAATTGTGTATAATTAACCTCTGTTAAGTACGAGACGTTTGAGTTATTCTTAGAGGCAGGGCATCAAACTATGATATACAGATGTTGAATCGGAAGAATAAACAAAAACACACGTGCAATGCCACAGCGGCCGAAAGTAACCCAGAAACGACAGCCTCGAGCGTGACGAGCAGCTGGCTCAGCGCTACGCTGATAACTGTTAGGAGACTGCCCAGGCCTAGTCCCAAGGTCGTAAGACCTTGCGTGGTGGTATTAATATCTACCATGGTTCGTTAGCACGAATGTCACGACATGGGTGCATGGGAGTGCATGCTGTCATGATACCAGCAGCGAGCGCTGCGATATCGTCCTTGTTACCCCTCTCGACCGCAAGACATCCAGCTTTGATGGAAACAATAGAAGACATGGCGGTGTCAACGGCTGAGACGACCTAGTTGAGGAGGGGAGAGACGGAGGTTTCCGTGGTAGTCTTGTTCGCAACGAAGAGGAGCATCTAGGTGGATTCTTTGAGGCTGCAAAAACAAGATGGCTTAACTGATTTAAGGAAGGATGGCACGCGGTAAATCCGAATAGAACCCATTATATGCTGTACAGCAGTGAGGGCTGATAGATACAGTGCGATGGCATGTAAATACATGGACTTGGTATAGGCCAAAGTATCTGGCCTGGCGTTCGCAGGTCTTTCTTTTCCTCTGGTTAGTTAACGGCCAGAGGCTACTTGAAATGCGAAAGGTAAACCAATAAAGGCACCATATTGTGGAGGAGGATTGCCAAATACGGTTTAATTCATGTGAGAGTGGAAGACTCGTACTTTGAAATTGAACAATGCAGCGTGACATACAAAAGCATGGCAGGAGGGGAGCGTGCATCCGACATCAGGTTTGTGACGAAGGAAAGAAGACCGCAGATCATCGCCACGAGACGTGGCGTCGGATCTTTTCAGGTACTCGAACGGATGTGAACAATTCCATGACGGCCCGACAGTTTGCGGGCTTGTCACACCGGTGAGTCTGTTCCATTACGCGCTGCCGGAAATCAGGGTTATACGGTCGTCTTCGGTATATCTGCGTGGCACCTCTACGACGATCCACCGTATCGGACGGCGTACAGCCCTCTCTCTCCAAAAGAGCCGAGGCAGCGTTTGGGATCTTGAGAACCACTAGACTGCTGCTGCTCTTCTCCCTGCTTTCAATTACCTCTTGTTCGCCATTGAATGGCTTAGGCAGGGTACGCATACAAGCTGTATTCTGATGGAAAGAATGGAAGATGCTGATTAGTATTAGTTCCCCAGTATTGGTATTTCTTTCAGTGGTGATTAACTGCGTGGACGACGGCAGTGGTTGAGGACGTGCTTTCTACAGGTGATAGCTATAACCGATGTCAGGGACAGGATACTACTGACATGTCAATAGCGTGATCGAATGCGACATAGCACGACTTGGAACCAGTTGGAGCACTGAGAAATATTATGTTCTTCATCACCAAGCGACTCGCTCCTGTACGCAAGCGTGTTGTATTCAACCTATCCGTCTCGTCGTCGAATTCCCCGACGAAAACACTCCCATCAAGCCTGAACTCGCATACAGTCTAGATTCGCGGGATAATACGGTAAATATATATCGCCGTCTCCGCAAAATTAGGATGGGCGCCTGCCCATGGATCAATGAGTCTCATACCATTGGAGCGATTAGATCAATTGCAAGGACGCAATTCGTCATTTCGTCAGAGGCCCGTGGCCGATCTCGCATTGATCTTCGTGCATTTAAATTGGTTGTGCCACATTGTTCATGCTACGCAACGGCAGGTACTCCAATTGTACATCATCTCTGAGACGATCAACAGGACGATGAGCGGGATGAAATAAGACTTACCCTCGTATCATAGGGACTCACGTCCGTTATCAGGAGTACGATCATCACGTCCACGATGAAAGCGTTGAATTCTCCCCATCATCCCACGATAGTAACCCATGTAGTCGGCATATGATAATTCGTTGTACCATAACACTGTTCATCATAATCATCGAATCCTGCACCGCTAATTCATGTCATGCATGAAAGTCTAACCGAAATGGGTTCTTCCACACAAGCGTGCTCCCATTCGAAGGCTGATGACTAGCCGGAATACACTCAACTTGGAACCCAGTCAGCCCGTGCCAGCGCTTATCATTGATAATGTCATTTATTAACCTCTCCAGCAACGAGGAGGTGCAGGAGAAAGAGTAAGAAGGGTCATGGTGCCGACCACAAGCAGTGGGCGAAACGAGATAGCAGTCAGTTTCACGGCCGCAGTTGCAAAGACGGAACTGGATTAGACTATGTATCATGGCGACGGCGAGTACGTGACGTTGAGGATCAGAGATGTCAGGCTATGCAGGAGCAGAGATGGTGATCATAAGAGCTTAACGCCAGTGCTGGCGGTTTCAGCCCGATTCCCGGTTCTCTTGCGACATTTAAATTCGAGTATACGGATCGCCGTTGGAATTCCCAAACCAATCTTCGACCGAACGGTATTTGAACTGCCTCTGGTGTAATTCGCAGGCAGTTTGTATCGCGTTCGATGCTCCGCCCATCCAATAAATTTTGATAACAGGTAGACTACTACTGATCTGGTTAACTTTTCTTTTTCCTGTGAGCGTGTGTATACCTCGGTCTAAGAATTTATGAAATGCTCCCGTGTCGTGGCAACACTCCTCATCGTACGTTTTCTTACCTGTTGGGGCTTTGAGTTTGTTGGTGATGCTTATTGGCTGGAGGTTTCCTTACCTCATAGAGAAAATGGCAATGATGCGTCAGCCGAGGACCTTTGTGGTTGCATTCACAAGCCCGGCTACATCTGCTAAATCCAAAGGAGAAAGGACTGTGAACCATTTCCCTCCGTCAATGCTCCTAGTACAAATATGAGTTTTTCGACACTTTTACTCGAGAGGGATGCGAGCTCCAATACCGATCCTTTTTCTCCCTACTAATTTTGGTCCTGTGATGAAGGATTGTTGCTGTTTGGCTGTCCAAGCTAATGGCCTGTCATCCGACACATGATCCTGAATTGCGAAAAAACTCTGGATGAACAAATGCATTCATACCCAGAGGTAAACGTTCTTTGTTATAATTTTCCACTAGGGACATGACCGTCCCATGGTCATGCTCAAGAAGATAGAGAATTTTTCTCTTGAACATTGGATGCCTTGTAAGTAACGGTGGTTGAATGGTGAAAAAGGCGATGCTAGGTTCGATTCCTCACCTCCGAATGAATAGTCTGATCCAAATCTTTTTTGGGGGGAAGGGGCCTTTGAGAAATCGATATTCAAATTATAGATCTTTTGTCATCTCATATTTGCGGTGAATTCTGCAGCTGTCAGAATGCAAGATTGGACTCATTTTAGCCTGCGATAATTCGTCACCTGGGCGTATATGCCTTGCTTGATGGCTAGCCTGCACTGGTTACCTCTGAAGGCATAGAGTTTGCAGATCAAACAGCATGTGCGGGAGGCAAAGGGTTTTTGCACCGAGGGAGTTTTATGACGTTCACCCAGAGTTCAGGGCATGGAACCGAGAATGGACTCTGAGTTAGGTGTAGTCTTCCCTTTGAATAGTACATGCTTTTTTTTTTTACTCATAGCCTCTCGACATGGGTAGCATACTATAAGTGAAAAGATTCATGGGGGGTGCTGGAATCTCGGTGCAACGACGACGAAAGCACGGAAACTGGAAGCGACAGTTGTACTTGTGGAAGTATCGAAAGGTCATTCAATGAGGAAATCCATGGCCCCGGGAGGTTGAAACGATTCTGCTTCTGACGGTTAGGGGAACTTCCGCTGTTGGATTCCGAAGATCAGAAAAGGTGAGCGAAAAACTTTGTCGTACTTTGTAATTTTGCATCCGTTTGAAAACCGCTAGTTTGTACATGTAGGTTCTGAATGTGATGATCTTGCTAGCCAGAACTGAAAATCAACTGACATACATCAATAGCATTCACAGCAAGTGCACAATTTACGACAAGAATGTCATTGCACATGACCTCAGAGGAAGGGGGGAAGAGTCATTCATGACCTTGTGGAATTACCATGCGAAACCGTTACGTACAGCATGAAAGAGCGAATGAGTCTCACTGGACGTGCACATCCTGAACGAAACAGAAACGAGTCTTGTTTTTTGAGTACCTATAACAAAAATGGAACGAGTATCTCATTATTTGAATATGGGGAATCGAACCCCACGCCAGTGCAATATGCCCTTTGACGTGAGACGTGGCGATGAAAAGTGATAGTGTGTTATTATGCTTGAGAGACGACGCGTCAATCAGCTCGCCTTTGATCTTCAAAGCATACACCACATGGTGAAGTCGCTCAGCTCGCCTTTCATACTTCAACGAATACACGACACGGTGAGGTCGCTCAGCTCGCCTTTAATCTTTCAAATCATAAACCACACAGTGAAGTCGCTCAGCTCGCCTTTCATCATTTGAACAATACACGACACGGTGAGGTCGCTCAGCTCGCCTTTAATCTTTCAAATAATAAGCCACACAGTGAAGTGGTTCAGCTCGCCTTTCATCATTTGAACAATACACGAGTCTGTCCCTTAGTTTCTTTATCATTATCCCATACTAACCATCTCGTTTTCCCTCTCTTCATTCAGTGCCTTCTGATGAAGGTGTCGAGCGTTACATTCATTTTTCTGGAAGCTCTGCGGAGGCTCAGAGCTCTGTTGACAAAAGAACAAATATCTCCCCATCCACCACCTTGTCGACCTTCTCCTCATCTACCAGCTCGTCGACCTTCTCCTCTCTGGAATCTGGCAGTCAAATCATGTCCAGCACTGCTTCCTCCACTTCTGATGTGTACGCTGTCTCCAGGGCGGAGGCTCAATCCTACTACGCAGGCCTCCATTCTGCACCCACATTGCTTTACCGCACAGGCAAGGAGTGGTCCCCGCCCAGCGGACCTGAGGCCCAGTGCCGTTTGAAGGAGCTGCGCGAGGTCTTTGACCATCCAATTACAACAGTCTGGAACAATGACTTGGGCTGGAGGGTTGTCAAGGTTTTAGACGCTCACACGGTCAGTTAATAGGTATCCATTATATCGTAGAATTTGCTAACTAGGATTTCTAGATCCCATTTACAACGGTAGATGTTGTTCGTTTTAAGATGGTCGAGGTCGACGAAGCCCCCGAGGACGAAGAAGACACTGATAAAGAAACGGTTGAAGCTAATAAACCGGTTGTCAGTCCGGTTACTATTTGGATTGGTGTCTTCCCCGAGTCTACCTCTGCCACGGCTGCCCACGACGCAGCTCAGGATATCCTAGCCCTTCTCAAGGACTACCAGATCACCGACGTCGATGTCGACTTCCGCGAGTCCTTCTACATGTGCGAGGCCGGTCCTCGGCTTCTCAAACCCGTCTCTGTCGACGACCCACTCATTGACGTTGTCGGTCCCCTCACTCCCACCCTCGGCCTGCACATCTCTACCAAGGCCAGGCCCGACGCTGGGGGAACGATGGCCCTCTACCTCGCCCAGGGTGGCGGCAGTGAGAAACTCTTCGGCCTTTCATGCCGTCACGTCCTCATCGGATCCAAGGAAGCCAACAATGACTATGTTTACCACCCCAGTGCGCCTCGTAAAAATGTCCTCCTGCTTAGCAATAGAGACATAACTGACCTCGTTAATTCGATCGAAATCAATATCACAGGACATAGCACGGCGGTGAAGAACTATAGGAAGGAGATTAAAGGGTTTGAGGAGAGGGAGAAGGGCACCAACGCTGGTGATGTTATGGAGGCCAAGGCGGCCCGAATTGAGGCTCAGGCGTTGCTGGACGATGTGGAGAAGAAAATAGATGCACTTAGAGTGTTGCGCAAGCAGCTCAACAACGATTGGAACAGACTTCAAAATCGTGTCCTTGGACACATCCTCCGCTCCCCACCCATCAGTGTCAGTGTCGGCCGGCATCGTTTCACGGAGGATTGGGGGGTCTTCGAGGTCGACCGGGCCAAGCTCGGTGACGGCTTCCAGGGCAATAAGATTGACCTCGGTATGTTTTTACCATCCAGCTAATACCATCTACTAACCTAAATGTTATTTATATCTAGGAACAAAGCTAACGCCAGAAGAATTCAAGAAAAAATGTTTCGCCCTTGGAGACGCCAACTGGGAGTTCACATATCCCGAAGATCGTCTGCTTCCACTTATGGGCATCATTCCTGACAACGCTCTGCGCACCCCCAACATGTGGGACTCGGACGGCGAACCATGCTTGTTGGTCATCAAGAACGGCAATGCCACTAACACCACCATCGGCCGTGCGAATGGTGTCTTTTCTATAGTTCGCGAATACTTCACCGACACATCAATCGACCAAACCTCCATGGAGTGGGTGATAATCAACTACGACAGCAAATCAGAAGTATTTTCGAAACCTGGCGATTCAGGCTCAGTAATTGCCGACATCCATGGCCGTATTGGTGGCATGCTTACTGGTGGTTCTGGCAAGACGCCATCTTCTGATATGACCTATGCCACACCGTTCTGGTGGCTCCTTGAGCGTATCAAGGTGAACGGATTCCCTAATGTGCACCTCGGCGTCGTCACCTAGGCATCTCAACATGCACGACGAAATCGAAGACTTAGTGCAGATGAGTGCTTTGACCACCGGTGGATCACTGTTTAAGTTCGTCTTTATTTTTTGTCTCGTCTTTTCGTACTTACAACTAATGGCCTTGGCATCTAGGGCTTGGACTAGTGGACTTGTCATATCGTCTCTCCCCTTGCAAGGGGTAGTTGTCGTACTGAGGAATGTGCATGGGTTTAGTTGGCATGGCGAGTCTTGGCACTATAACAGCTTAGTAAATACAGTTAGTTATTCATTGCCATGCGACTGAATGAAATCCTACGGAAACTATGTCACATAGCGAATTGATCAGGGAAGCGACAACTTCGTGATGCGATAACCGCCTAGTTAGGATAATGTCGATCGATCGATCAGTTTGTCTTTCCTCCCCATCTTCGGAGATTCGAGCTATGACCGGGGGGCAAGACAGTGGCGCTGCACATATCGACGCACCCGAGTCGTCGTCGATAGTGGTGGTGCCGATCAAGTGCCGATTGACGCGTCGTCTCTCAAGCATAATAACACACTATCACTTTTCATCGCCACGTCTCACGTCAAAGGGCATATTGCACTGGCGTGGGGTTCGATTCCCCATATTCAAATAATGAGATACTCGTTCCATTTTTGTTATAGGTACTCAAAAAACAAGACTCGTTTCTGTTTCGTTCAGGATGTGCACGTCCAGTGAGACTCATTCGCTCTTTCATGCTGTACGTAACGGTTTCGCATGGTAATTCCACAAGGTCATGAATGACTCTTCCCCCCTTCCTCTGAGGTCATGTGCAATGACATTCTTGTCGTAAATTGTGCACTTGCTGTGAATGCTATTGATGTATGTCAGTTGATTTTCAGTTCTGGCTAGCAAGATCATCACATTCAGAACCTACATGTACAAACTAGCGGTTTTCAAACGGATGCAAAATTACAAAGTACGACAAAGTTTTTCGCTCACCTTTTCTGATCTTCGGAATCCAACAGCGGAAGTTCCCCTAACCGTCAGAAGCAGAATCGTTTCAACCTCCCGGGGCCATGGATTTCCTCATTGAATGACCTTTCGATACTTCCACAAGTACAACTGTCGCTTCCAGTTTCCGTGCTTTCGTCGTCGTTGCACCGAGATTCCAGCACCCCCCATGAATCTTTTCACTTATAGTATGCTACCCATGTCGAGAGGCTATGAGTAAAAAAAAAAAGCATGTACTATTCAAAGGGAAGACTACACCTAACTCAGAGTCCATTCTCGGTTCCATGCCCTGAACTCTGGGTGAACGTCATAAAACTCCCTCGGTGCAAAAACCCTTTGCCTCCCGCACATGCTGTTTGATCTGCAAACTCTATGCCTTCAGAGGTAACCAGTGCAGGCTAGCCATCAAGCAAGGCATATACGCCCAGGTGACGAATTATCGCAGGCTAAAATGAGTCCAATCTTGCATTCTGACAGCTGCAGAATTCACCGCAAATATGAGATGACAAAAGATCTATAATTTGAATATCGATTTCTCAAAGGCCCCTTCCCCCCAAAAAAGATTTGGATCAGACTATTCATTCGGAGGTGAGGAATCGAACCTAGCATCGCCTTTTTCACCATTCAACCACCGTTACTTACAAGGCATCCAATGTTCAAGAGAAAAATTCTCTATCTTCTTGAGCATGACCATGGGACGGTCATGTCCCTAGTGGAAAATTATAACAAAGAACGTTTACCTCTGGGTATGAATGCATTTGTTCATCCAGAGTTTTTTCGCAATTCAGGATCATGTGTCGGATGACAGGCCATTAGCTTGGACAGCCAAACAGCAACAATCCTTCATCACAGGACCAAAATTAGTAGGGAGAAAAAGGATCGGTATTGGAGCTCGCATCCCTCTCGAGTAAAAGTGTCGAAAAACTCATATTTGTACTAGGAGCATTGACGGAGGGAAATGGTTCACAGTCCTTTCTCCTTTGGATTTAGCAGATGTAGCCGGGCTTGTGAATGCAACCACAAAGGTCCTCGGCTGACGCATCATTGCCATTTTCTCTATGAGGTAAGGAAACCTCCAGCCAATAAGCATCACCAACAAACTCAAAGCCCCAACAGGTAAGAAAACGTACGATGAGGAGTGTTGCCACGACACGGGAGCATTTCATAAATTCTTAGACCGAGGTATACACACGCTCACAGGAAAAAGAAAAGTTAACCAGATCAGTAGTAGTCTACCTGTTATCAAAATTTATTGGATGGGCGGAGCATCGAACGCGATACAAACTGCCTGCGAATTACACCAGAGGCAGTTCAAATACCGTTCGGTCGAAGATTGGTTTGGGAATTCCAACGGCGATCCGTATACTCGAATTTAAATGTCGCAAGAGAACCGGGAATCGGGCTGAAACCGCCAGCACTGGCGTTAAGCTCTTATGATCACCATCTCTGCTCCTGCATAGCCTGACATCTCTGATCCTCAACGTCACGTACTCGCCGTCGCCATGATACATAGTCTAATCCAGTTCCGTCTTTGCAACTGCGGCCGTGAAACTGACTGCTATCTCGTTTCGCCCACTGCTTGTGGTCGGCACCATGACCCTTCTTACTCTTTCTCCTGCACCTCCTCGTTGCTGGAGAGGTTAATAAATGACATTATCAATGATAAGCGCTGGCACGGGCTGACTGGGTTCCAAGTTGAGTGTATTCCGGCTAGTCATCAGCCTTCGAATGGGAGCACGCTTGTGTGGAAGAACCCATTTCGGTTAGACTTTCATGCATGACATGAATTAGCGGTGCAGGATTCGATGATTATGATGAACAGTGTTATGGTACAACGAATTATCATATGCCGACTACATGGGTTACTATCGTGGGATGATGGGGAGAATTCAACGCTTTCATCGTGGACGTGATGATCGTACTCCTGATAACGGACGTGAGTCCCTATGATACGAGGGTAAGTCTTATTTCATCCCGCTCATCGTCCTGTTGATCGTCTCAGAGATGATGTACAATTGGAGTACCTGCCGTTGCGTAGCATGAACAATGTGGCACAACCAATTTAAATGCACGAAGATCAATGCGAGATCGGCCACGGGCCTCTGACGAAATGACGAATTGCGTCCTTGCAATTGATCTAATCGCTCCAATGGTATGAGACTCATTGATCCATGGGCAGGCGCCCATCCTAATTTTGCGGAGACGGCGATATATATTTACCGTATTATCCCGCGAATCTAGACTGTATGCGAGTTCAGGCTTGATGGGAGTGTTTTCGTCGGGGAATTCGACGACGAGACGGATAGGTTGAATACAACACGCTTGCGTACAGGAGCGAGTCGCTTGGTGATGAAGAACATAATATTTCTCAGTGCTCCAACTGGTTCCAAGTCGTGCTATGTCGCATTCGATCACGCTATTGACATGTCAGTAGTATCCTGTCCCTGACATCGGTTATAGCTATCACCTGTAGAAAGCACATCCTCAACCACTGCCGTCGTCCACGCAGTTAATCACCACTGAAAGAAATACCAATACTGGGGAACTAATACCAATCAGCATCTTCCATTCTTTCCATCACAATACAGCTTGTATGCGTACCCTGCCTAAGCCATTCAATGGCGAACAAGAGGTAATTGAAAGCAGGGAGAAGAGCAGCAGCAGTCTAGTGGTTCTCAAGATCCCAAACGCTGCCTCGGCTCTTTTGGAGAGAGAGGGCTGTACGCCGTCCGATACGGTGGATCGTCGTAGAGGTGCCACGCAGATATACCGAAGACGACCGTATAACCCTGATTTCCGGCAGCGCGTAATGGAACAGACTCACCGGTGTGAGAAGCCCGCAAACTGTCGGGCCGTCATGGAATTGTTCACATCCGTTCGAGTACCTGAAAAGATCCGACGCCACGTCTCGTGGCGATGATCTGCGGTCTTCTTTCCTTC